ATTAAATACATTTTTTTAGTTTCTTTTAATAATCTAAATTGATAGTAATTTCAAATCAATGTTTGGAATTTTGAGTTAATATGTTTTTACTTGTTCTATGTTGTTTTGTTATGCTAATTTTGTTGTCCAACTTTTTTATAATGTTCAATTTTATTAATTATGTGAATAATATTTTTGAACACTAGATTTACCTTTAAGTGATTATAATGGACAGTTATTATATTAAATATATACAGGGTGATTTTTTTATCATAACCCACTCAATTACTTGCAGAATAATAATAATTTAAACATTTTTTTTTTTTATTATCTTTAGTTATACATTATTCTTGAATTATTTACTATGTAATACTTTTTAAGTTCATCCCTTATTCCTGGTAAGGGTGTCAACTTTGTTTTTTTAAATGGTAACATATATTTTTAATTTAATAAAATGTTTGAGTTTTTAATTCAATAGTAAATGGCATTTGAATTTTTAATGAAACTTAATTAGCTTATTAGATATAAACATTTAAAGTTTCAAAATTTTGAGTTAATATACATGTATAATACACATGGGATTGTAAATACAGGTAGCTAATTGGATTTTTATGACATTGATATTAGCAGGTACACAGCATTGTTATTATCAATTGTAGTAAGGCACATTGTTATGAGTTTATAAATACACTAACTGACAATACAGAAAGTATATCTATTGATAATCATAATTGATAATAAACAATCCGTGACTGAGACAGCAATGTCATAAAAATCCAATTAGCTACCTGTATTTACAATCCCATGTGTATTATACATGTATATTAACTCAAAATTTTGAAACTTTAAATGTTTATATCTAATAAGCTAATAAAGTTATATTAAAAATTCAAATGCCATTTACTATTAAATTAAAAACTCAAACATTTTATTAAATTAAAAATATGTGTTACCATTTAAAAAAACAAAGTTGACCCCCCTCCAAGGCATAAGGGATGAACTTAAAAAGTATTACATAGTTAAAAATTCAAGAATAATGTGTAACTAAAGATAATAATAAAAAAAAATGTTTAAATTATTATTATTCTGCAAGTAATTGAGTGGGTTATGATAAAAAAATCACCCTGTATATTACATTGAAAAATCAATAATATCGTAGTTCAAATTATATAGTTACATTGTGTAATCATTTTTTCCCAAATCTTAATTTCGTGGGTTCAAAATGAAATGTTAATATTATCTAGTACTTAACAACTAGTTAAACGAAACAGTTAAACCACTAAGGACTGTATTTAAAAAATGGTAGTAAAATGAATCGTTTCATATTTCTCCGGATTTTTTTAGAATATATTATTTTTGACCGCATGAAAATAAAAGTTTGACGATCGATCTACTTTATTTGCAGACATGTCGATTTCAATTTTTTATGCCAATGCTCTTGCGTATTTAATGTTCTATTAATATGCGCCTATATGGTTTTTTGGAACCGTTACAAATTATTAGTCTTCGAGATTGCCAATCGACATACGTATTTAAGTTTAGATTCCTAATTTAGATCAGAGTTTTTATGGAACACGCCATTGTGCGCGCTGGCCCATCGAACCCAATACTCCATTAACAAATGTCAGTAAAATGTACATATAATTTATTGATTGCTCTGGATGTTTTTACTTTGCTATTGTCACAACTTAAAAACTCCAAAATGTATAAAATGATGGTATTTGTTTATTTTTTTAAATTGGTCTCATCATTAATTTTTTTTGATAATATAATTTTATTTGTGTTATTTATTTACTTTTTATACAAATTTAGAATTTATAACATAGAACTCACACAAATAAATAATTCATTGGTTTTGGAATATAAGTCGCGGTACACAAATTTGAAGATATAATCTTCCAAATTGATAATAGATGTTTGCTTTCTGTAGGACAACAGAAAATTAAAGTTTGAAATCAACATTTTATTTATTCCAAAAAGTGGTTGTAGATAATTTGTTGTCAACTTTAGTGAATTGGAAGTTATTAGATTATATATTCGATTTTTTTTTTTTAATAAAAAATATAATAAATCCGTTTATTGACCTGAATTATAAGATTTATTCTTATAACGTTAGTTTAATCAACATAACAAAAACATGATTACTTAAAGATTATGTAAAAATATTCTTTTTTTAAATAATTGATTATGGTTCAAATGACATGCTAGTAGCATGTCTCCCTTGGAAAATATGCAATCCTAAAAAAGTAGTTCTTATAATAAAAATTTTGTATACATTATTTTTTTTCTAAAATTAAATTTGATAACTAATAACTATTTAATTATCTACGTTCATCAAAAAATATTATTGTATTATTGTATTATTGTATTATTATGATCGATAAGGGACTATGTTCATAAAATCATGATTATAGATTAAATTACACGTTTACTTAATCTGTACAATTATTTAATTTTTACATTACAGCAACTTATTATTTTAATGTAATTGTTTGTTTCTTATGTATACTTCAAAAAATGTTTGATTCCTAAAAAGAAAGATTTTATCCCTATGTATCTTACATATAAATTAAACAATGTTTTTAATACAAAAATAATTTTAAAGTTTTAATGAACTGTGACATAAAAACATGTCTATTGTCTTGCACGAATTCCCTTTTAATACGTCGAATTAAGAAAAAAGTTAAAAATGTATTTGAGCAAAATGTCAATTGATAGCAAAAGGAATTAATTAAATATCCAAAGAAATTTCTTCAATATGTTTACTTATTTCTTCAAACAAATAAAACTGTTATTTGATCCACCAATGCACACAATTTTTATTTATTTAAATGACTTATTTTTATTTAAATATTTAATTAGAAGTTTTCTAAATTAGAAGGATGGTGTTTCAATTTTGAGACATTTTTTAAATTACTATATCCTATATTCGTTTTATATACAAAGAATGCTTTTTACTTTGAAGGTTGTACAGAATGAACAAAAAATTAAAAATATATGCTTAGTTTGAATTAACTGTCAGAAACAGCTAAATTCTTTATTGATATTTTAAATATGCCTTTTAAGTATTGTAGTAAATAATTCATGTCATTTTAGACATACTTCATTATTTTCAACATTAACCTTGTTTTAAAGTTTATAAACTTATTTTTAACATGTTTATACCACGTGCATAATACTCCAAAATAATATACAGGGTGATTTTTTTATTATAACCCACTCAATTACTTATAGAATAATAATAATTTAAACATTTTTTTTTTATTATCTTTAGTTACACATTATTCTTGAATTATTAACGATTTAAAACTTTTTATGTTCATCCCTTATGCCTTGTAAGGGTGTCAACTTTGTTTTTTTAAATGGGAACACATATTTTGAATTTAATAAAATGTTTGAGTTTTTAATTTAATAGTAAATGGCATTTGAATTTTTAATATAACTTAATTCGTTTATTAGATATAATCATTTAAAGTTACAAATTTTGGAGTTAATATACAGGTATAATACACAAGATTACAAATACAGGTAGCTAATTGGTTTTTTATCACATCGATATTAGCAGGTACACAGCATTGTTATTATCAATGATAGTAAGATACATTGTTGTGAGTTTATAAATATACTAATTGACAATACAGAATGTATATTTATTGATAGTCATAATTGATAATAAACAATCTGTGACTGTGACTGCAATGTCATAAAAGTCCAATTAGCTACCTGTATTTGTAATCTTGTGTATTATACCTGTATATTAACTCCAAAATTTGTAACTTTAAATGATTATGTCTAATAAACGAATTAAGTTATATTAAAAATTCAAATGCCATTTACTATAAAATTAAAAACTCAAACATTTTATTAAATTCAAAATATGTGTTACCATTTAAAAAAACAAAGTTGACACCCTTACAAGGCATAAGGGATGAACATGAAGAGTTTTAAATCGTTAATAATTCAAGAATAATGTGTAACTAAAGATAATAAAAAAAAAATGTTTAAATTATTATTATTCTGTAAGTAATTGAGTGGGTTATGATAAAAAAATCACTCTGTATATTTATTTCTCATCTTCATTAATGTTGGTGTTAAATTACTTTAATAACTTTACTAAAAACTACTAGTTGCATCATATAAAAATACATATTCATATTTCTCTTATTAAAAAAGTTTTTATGAATTTTATACTATAGATATATGTAGAATTTAAACGCGGTATTTAAATCGAGTTAATAAGATTTTCATGAAAAAGTTCACATTAGTTTTTAAATATTTTGTGTAGTTTAAATAGTTTGGTTAACTCAATTTAAGTTTCCAGTACGTATAATTGATTTTGAAATGCCCAAGAAAAGCGATAAAATATATTTTTTTTAAGATAGATATATTATTTATTATTTATACTATGTTAGATATAGAACATTAAAATTATTTCTTTCATATGTACTTTGTATTATTATTTAATAGTAGTTATATTTTACAAATCAAGTTATTATTTAGCTCAATTTTTTTTTTTTTTTTTTTTAGAATTCAATATAATTAGATCAATATAATTAAAATTTGAGTAATGTTTAATTTATTGCATAATAAACTATCTAAAAGTTTTTTAAGATTTAACTAATGATCCTTTTATCTATCAAAAATGTTTGCTAAGAAATTTCATTTAATTAGTTCTCGATAATTTTTTTTTATATTTAATAAAAACTTGAAACTATATTAACTTTTACTTTTTTAATTTGTTCAATAAATAAATAGTAACAATAATTCTATAAGAAAAATTATATTTACTGAATTATTATCTTTTAAATCATGATTTTTCTGTTATTTATCCTAAAAATGTATTTTACTATTTTTATTATTATTGTTACCTTTATCCNTTTAAATCATGATTTTTCTGTTATTTATCCTAAAAATGTATTTTACTATTTTTATTATTATTGTTACCTTTATCCTTAATCGAAAAATATTATTGTTTTAAAATTTTTAAATTAAAAGTTATTTTTTTGAATTATTTTTCTCAGGACAGAATTTTGGAAATCGACCGGTAAAAAGTACTGCGATTTCTGTAAGTGTTGGATTGCGGATAATAAGCCTGTAAATATTTAAAACTTGCTTATTAAAGAAATATAAGATATATTAAACTATAATAATTTTTTAGAGCATCCAATTTCACGAAAATGGGAAACGTCACCAGAATAGTGTGGCTAAGAAGTTGGTCGATATTAAAAAGAATAGCGCAATTCAAAGAAAAGAAGAGCAAAGTCTTGAAATGGATATGAAACGAATGGAACAGGTTTGTTATAATTTTTCGTAGTTAAAAAATAATTAGTTTGTTTATAAAATAGATTTATTTATCTTTTCAAAATATTTATAACAATGATAATGAATTGTATATTTAATAATTACCATGCTATAATAAATAATTAAAAATCATTGAAAATAATATTTCAGTGAGTATTAATTAAAAACGGCGGTCTTTGGCTTATTATGGATAATTTATTATTAAATATTATTTATATTAAAAAATGTGTCTGTTTTATTTTGAATATGTCGGTGGTATTTAGTTAGATGTACTGTTTACATAAATACTTTTATAATGTCCTGCTCTTTTACAGTGAATTGATTACTCGTTCAAGTGTATCACCACTTAATAAGCCCTTTAATTAGGCTAACGAAGGCCATTAAAGATTATTAACAAAGTATTTTGTTTGAATAAATACTCTGTAGTTTTATAATTTGGACAATTGTTATATTATTATAGGGAGCTATGAAAGCATATTATAATGATATCCAAAATAACCCTGATTACTCTTCGCAAGTTCTTATCAAAGAACGTGGCATAACAATACGTCCAACACCTTATATAGCGACACAATCCAGTGGACCCGTAAACATAAGTTACTCTAAAACTAATCCATCTATGCCGATATCCATTAAAGCTGTGGCGCCTCCTAAGCCTACATATGTCTGGCATGAGTCTAGAACGGAAGATGGCTCAATGATGTATTATTGGAATACCGAAACTGGTGGTATGTTTTTTGTTTAATAGTTATACTTCAAAAATAAATAAAAAAATACGCGTTCAAATTTTAGAATCAGTTTGGGAACCTCCAGCCGAAGGATTTTTAAGTGTAGTTGAACAAGAAGCTGAAGAACAGCGCAAGAAAAATAAAAATAAAAAAACACCCAATGGCCCAAAAGTTAAAAAAAAGAAAACTGAGGGTGAAATACAAGGCGGTGAAGAAGAAGATATAGAAGAATCGGCTGAACCCGTTCGAGGTGAATTCGAACCTTTTATGGCAGAAACCACTCGCATAGGGTCGTGGAAAGCAGTAGAACAGCCCAAGTATGTTCATTATATTAGTATATTATTTACAGTAGAATAAAAAACATTAGTATTTAATAAAATTATGTCACACTATTAATACAATGAGGTTGTATCTCGATAAATGACTTTCTGTCACAACTAGTGACAAATTACAAAACCTTATTATGATTACTATAGACAACAAATACCATCCAGCGCGCATTCGACTTGATCAAAATAAAATATTTGTAGAATATAAAAAAAATGAGGGATACCTTTTTGTAACGTTACAAAGGTATAAGACAAATTAAAAAACCTCAGAAGGTAATGCTTTTTCTGTTTGCAAAAAAAAAAAAAACTAGTAAAAGATCCACTGACAGAATGTTCAGCAGATATTAATAAATTATCAATTACCAATAAGTAAATCATATTTATAAATATTGAAGTTATAAAAATAACTCTGTTTTTTAGTAATATCATCAAAGTCATCATTAAACGTTTGGTTGTTGTAAGTCCATTTAACTTAAACGTTTATTCTTTTAGTGCGATATAATTAACTTTATTACAGTCTGGACATGAGTATAACTATGTAAATTTTTATTTATTTTTTAAATATTGTTTTTGTAATTTGAATTCCTTTTTACGAATTTATTTATTTATCTAGTTACTTAAAAAATTGAGTTTTATACAGTGATAACAATATTCAATTTATCAAGATATGTTTAAAGTTTTAAAGAGAATTTAATGGATCACATAAATCACTCCATCAAAACCTTTTATTTTTGCTTTTAACTAAAAATATTCATGTAAATCTTAGAGAAAAGATTCTAAATTTTATTATCGAAAACTCTGGCGCACAATGTATACAAAAGTTATTGTTATTACTATTATTATTACAATCATTATTACTTTACATAATATATACTATTAATGACTTTAAGTGAATATTATTACTAAGTTTTATAAACATATGTATAAATATAGTTTCATACGACCTCTTTGATGACATAAACTAGTATACTTGATAAATTTTATTTTTGAAGTTGTTTGTATTTTAGCATTCAAACATTCTAAATCGATTGTTTTGTGAGTACTCACAATAAATAATATTTTATAAAAGAAAACCGAAATTTAAAATATTGCTGTTTCTTAGAAAATTTATCCAAATTATCAAATTATGACAATGATAGCTGCTATTAGATACAATTTTTTTATGTTGTAACACACTATTAGACAACATCTGTCAACTGGTTGTTGGACATTTTGTTGACCGATAAAAAACACATAATAGTAAAACCCACTTCAAAACAACTAGAATATATGTTTTTTAAATTATTCTAATCAATTTTTTTCCTTACATCATGATTGTGTTTATGATGTAAAAAAATAAGTTGTATTCTATTTAAAAACTGAAAGATAAAAATCTAAAATAAATAAAGTCGACCAATACGTCTATAAATCTCGTTATTTAAAACTATTTATTTTTTTTGCCTCAGGTTTACCTAACAACTAAATAATTTAATGTAAATATTTTTCGACTAAGTTCAACTAAATGATTCAAAGGCCCACTATGTACACATAATATATTTTAATGATTTTCTTTGTGAAGGAGATTTGATTATTTTTTCATATTGTAATGTCAACTTAAACTAGTGTCAGCTAGACTACTTATGGTTATTTTGCCAATTAAAAAAAATTGTGAATAGTAAATTCAATTAATGCAATTAATTTGGTATCTGCTTAAATTTTTTTTTTGACATACCTTGAAAATAAAAAATTTTATTCTCAACATGCATACATCCATTAACATTTCAAGCAATAAATTTTTTCCACATAATTTAAAATTTATAATTACATTATTTTTGTTCGATATTACTGAGGTGAATTATTTGATTTAATCAATTTTTACAAATTATTTTTAGGCCACTGCCAGTAATTGATCTTCAATTACCAGAACAGGAGTTTGTAGCAGTTAAAGTACCTAGTATCAAAGAAAAAGAGTACACTTTTAAGGAAAAAGTCGTCGGTAACATAAGTGTTACTGATAGTAGCAACAAAAGTTCAGCCGAGCCTATTTCCTTCAAAAAAGCTAAATTTAAGAAATCTAATTGTCGCAAACGTTTGGACAATGATTAATTATAAAAGTATTCTATACTTTAATTTTATGTAAATACTGACGAAAATTAGACACTTTTCTCAATTAAATATAATTTTCTAATGTAGTTTTTTATTAACCAACATTCAACTGATAAATCATACATACATACATACAATATTGTAATAGATTTCCATCCATGTTCAAGATTGGAGAAGTTCTAAAATATGTACCGGAAAATAAAATTTTTAACAGAACCATTTTTTTATTAGTCTTTTAGTTTAAATATGGGAATTCACCCCTACACATACGGTTTAAAAAGTTCTTCNGTACCGGAAAATAAAATTTTTAACAGAACCATTTTTTTATTAGTCTTTTAGTTTAAATATGGGAATTCACCCCTACACATACGTTTGAAAAGTTCTTCTTCAAAAAAAAATTATTAATAGTAAAAAAATTTGAAAAACTGTGTTTAAAATGAAAATAGTAAGAGGTGAATAACTTATTCTTGAGTGCCCACCCTCATAATTTATAAATTTCATAAATTCAAGGTAAACATATTTTCTTTGACTTAATTTTATAATATATGTCACGACTTACGTCGTAATAATGTAGTCAACACTCGTTTTGAGAGTAGAGACCTGTGAGCCGTTTATTAATAAGCAACAACAGGTTATTTAAAAATAAAAAACCGAAAAGACGAACCCAGTTAATAACAATTTTTGCATAATATCGCGGCGATTCCCTGAAGTTGTCGACGCGGTGTCCATCATGATCCTCGGCCGTCAAAAGGTTAACAGCGTTGATGGCGACGGTGAGGATCAGTTCGTCAGTCCGGAGCCGGTGGCATACATTCTCGACGTTGTCACTTAGACAACGGGAAGAAGACTCGACGTATCATTTGTGGCGAGTGGTCGTCGGCCGTGCGTCACTTGCTGGACTTTGCACTGTGGTGTATGGCACGCGGTGTTGGTCAGTCAAATACACATAGTAGGGCGATGGCTCATAAAGATGGCACGAGTCGCGGGACATCGTTTATCACGAAGCGACACGGGGCCGTGTCAAATAATATGTAGATTTATTTTAAATTTTAGTGCTAAGTTGTAATTATGTGTGTTTTAATCGGAATATAAAGTTAGCAGATGTATACAATTTTTACTTTATAGTAGAAATGTGTTAAATAAAATTGATAAAACTTTAATGTCATTATTATAATATTAAATGGTCAATTTAACGTATCGTCGATATACAATAAAATAATAGAATAGGGAAACAAGTATAATAGTTCCAACGCAAAGTATACCAGACATGTCATTTACACAAATGTAGGGAAACCAACGAAATTTTCACCATTATAAACTATACCACACCCGAGGACCTGTTAACTCACCAAAAAAGAGAGAAGAAAGATAGAAAAACAAAGATATTAAAAAGGATTGACCATTTTTCCAATGAAAAACAAGGTTAAAATTGTGTTATTTAGGATAAGGAATAACAATGTATTAGCAAAATCTTATTAATCTAATAAATAAAACTGTGTGAATGTGTAACACTTAACTTACAGATTTTTGACGCGTACTAATTAAATATACGAGACGTGTTCAGAAAATAACGGGAATTTTTATACTTTGCGGATTTGGAAAGTCCGGTTATTAAAATTTTGGTACACATATCCCTGAAGTATGATGAGATTTTCAGTTATATTCATTTTTTTCTTTGTCAGTGGCAGCCGCTAAGGTTGAACGTGTTTTTATGAGCTCTGCGATTTTCATTTATTAAAAAAAATAGATTAAAGAATTTGTATCAAATTTTGCGTAAAAATTAAATAAAGTGTGTGAAATGGTAATTAATGGTTTACGAGTGGTATAAATGTCTCCAAAATGACCGTAAAAACATTAAAGATGACGGACGCCCCAACACATCAACAACCGATGAAAACGAGGAAAAAGTGAAAGATATGTTTTTGAACGAATCACAATCAGAGAAATCTCTGTTGATGTTGGGATATCGATTGACTCGTGCCATAAAATTTGTTCGAATGTTTTGGGTAGGAAACGCCAATTTTGCGTAGCAGCAAAATTTGTTCCAAAATTATTGAATTTTGTACCAAAAAATCGGCGAATGGAAGTTGCTCAGGTGTCACTTAATGAAGTAAACGACGATGCAGAATTACTGAAACGAGTAATAACAGGTGACGAAACATGTATTTATGGATTTGACGTCGAAACTAAGGCTCGACGTCTCAGTGGAGGCATTATGGATCGTCTAGACCGAAAAAGACTTGACAAATGAGATCGAACGTGAAGGTTATTTTCACTGTGTTCTTCGATTTTAATAGCATAGTGCATCATAAATTCTTCTTCATTCTTCATATGGTCAATAAAAAGTACTACTCACAAGTTCAACGCTTTATGCGTGAAGCAATCCGAAAAAATGCCCAGAATTGTGGCAAAACAATTCATGGCTTTTGCACCACGATAATGCACCTGCTCACATAACATTATTTACTCGTGAATTTTTGGCTAAAAGCAATTCCGTATTGATGCGCCAGCCTCAATTTCACCAGACATCACTCCGTGTGACTTTTTTCTATTTCCAAAAATAAAGAGAACCTTAATGGCCCATTGTTTTACAAGCATAGATGATATAAAAAGCGCATCGCTGAATTAGCTGAAGTCTATCCCAAGGATCTAGTTTGAGAAGTGTTTCGAGGATTGGAAGAATCGTTGGAACTAGTGCATAATATCTAATATGGACTTTTTTGAAGGCGACAGCATTAATTTAGACGAATAAATAAATATTTTTTTCAAAAAACGAAAATTTTTGTTATATTTTGAACACACTTTATAATGACCTTTGACCTTATGCACACCATAATTTTCATTATATTACAACATATATGATGCCATAGTTTAAATTTGAAAAATTCAAATTGTGTAATGAAAACTCTACAACTTGCTTGTTCAGACCATGTTCCTAATTTTTTTTTATTGAGACAATACAAACATTGCTCTACATAAATTAAAATAACATGCAATTTTAATGTAACAGAAACATCTGTTACATCGATAGCTTTTTTTTTAAATTTATGTGAATACCTTCGTTAAAGTTAATAGATTTTATTAGTGTTACACTATTTTATTCATTTATCAAAAGGTATTAATGTTAATTTCTCGGCTACATTAAATATTTGTGAATCAATAAATATATCACAGAATACATTTATTCTAAATATTTATTCTCAAATATTTCACCATGATAATTTTTTCTAACGATCTTAAGTTTTTTTGGTTACATTAGTACTTGTACTTTATAAATTCTGGATACAATACCATTCAAAAATAAAAAATTAATAAAACGTTGCAATAAATATTATTCTAAAGTCACAAATTATTTAATACATAAATACTGTTGTCTTCTTCAAGAAGTAGTAAATTAGAGCTATATAAAAACTTGTCTAGTTTTTAGTTTTTACTCATTATAGTAAATGATCTTTCACCATTTGAGTATAATTTACGCTTTTTGAAAGGTAGGTAGGTTTCAATCTTCTGATAAAATCAAAATAAACATGATAGTCTAAAAATATCCTTGATCAATAACTGCTCTTTTTAAATATATCTATTATTTTTACTTAGTAATTTCCAATAATTTGCCGTTTATCCAGTATGTTTCTATTAATTTTTCTGCATCTACATTAACAATAGTACGTTTTATTTTAATTTGCTTTTTCAACGTCAATGTCAAATCGCCTAATTTTTAAAAATCGTTTAAACTTCTAAAGGTTTGAATTAAATTATCAGCAGGAATGAAATTAGTCAAATTTAGACTTATGATTTCCTGTTAAGCGTTTATTAAACTTAAAATTAACAAAGCTTTCATGCACAAACATAATATTTATATTTTTACAGCGTAATATTGTTTGTATTACTTATAGTATTTAATTTAATTATACCACTTTTTTTTTTATAGAACTTTTTTGAGTTTCAACATATTGTAAGGTTTCAGCCAAACAGAGGGCCTACTAATTACCCACTGCCCAGGGGGGACACTGGACAGTGACCTAGTAGCCGCGCCAAACAAGATAGTACTTGTTGACGGAGCTACTAGGTTTTGATAAAAACAAAAAAAAAACAAATATTAATAAAAATGAAGGAAAAGTATAGGGAGAAAAATAAAAGAGGCCATGAATAATATAATAACATTTTTTTTTATAATTAATGATTAAATTTTATAATTATTATTTTAAAATATATATATATTCATAAAGGAAGAATAAATAAAAAAAAAGAAGCAAAAAGGAGGTGCTATATTAACAAGATTAATAATGGGTAGAACAGGGGGGTTTCACGTTATACTTGTTGTTGGTTGAGTTGCGGAGTGATGGCCCACCACCGGCCATAGTTGCGCCTCACATCACAATCATCATCATTATCACCATCTCGACGTTTTGTTTAAAAAAAAAACGGAGGACAAAAATACAGCCTGGTTGACACCACAAGTAGACGGCAGGTCGACTCGACGTTTTATTTTCTAAAAAAAAAACGGAGGACAAAAAAAATATGAACAGAAAACGTGGTTTTCACAGTAAAAATTATTTAGAACACACGACTTGTCGCCTCGGTAGTATAGCTGGGAAAAAAATCATTTGAAGCAGCATTTGTGTAGTGGCCGGTGATCGTGACGCCGGGTGGTGGTGGTACCAACTTTGACAAGTCCATTGGGGGGAAATACAACAATATGGGTATAGGTGCATTGTGTACGGTCAGCTGATGATGACAGATATCGGACCGGTTGACAAGTGGAGGTTATCATATACAAAATTATTAAAATACTTTACACCTACTGCACACGTATCTAATTGATAAGATTAATATAAAAAAAAACTTGTATAAATTCTGCAACATTACAATATCCTAAATTACCTGGAGTTGATATTTTTATGAAAGAATTTCAACTAATTCTACATTTTTTATGTTACTGCATGAGTACTAGTATTATTAGTTGTTTGAGCACCTTGTTGGCACCAGTGTGTAATCCGGCAGGACAATCTCTAGACGGCTGGTTTGGTTAAACGCATAAGTGATGATGGTCATCGATTGGCGGTGGTAATTATACCCGACGGG